TTCCCCCCATTTTTTAAGCCCCCCCCCCCCACCCACACACACACTGATTCTAAATCTGGCTCCCCTGGTGTTGGGAGCAGGAAGGAAGGATAGAGAAGGCAGAAGGCATCTTGCACACCTGGCAATATGTTAATGGTGAAGAGATAGCCTTGAATCTGTTTGGTTCCGCACAATAGATTTTCACAGTTGGAAGATCATCTAGTTCAACACCCTCTTTTTACAAATGAGTAAAGTAAGGCTCATGTAGATGACATGACTTGAGAGATGGCAGGCCCAGTAAGTGGTAGAGTTGGACTTACGAATGTCCTCCCACCTCCTTTCCGGTGTCCCCCGTGCTGCACCACAGCTGCTGCTTCCAACATGTGCCCATCAGAGGCAGGACCAGGCTGAGGCCTTGGGAGGTATTCTCCTCGGTCTAACATTTGCTGTGGCGCAAAAAACCTCAGTAATCAAGAAAAACAATATTGTAATGCAACTTTTTTTTTAAATTGGTGAATGTTAAGCACAACTTTTAAAAATATATATTTTTTATTGATTTCAGAGAGGAAGGGAGAGGGAGAGAGAGATAGAAACATCAATGATAAGAGGGAATCATTGATCAGCTGCCTCCTGCACGCCCCCTACTGGGGACCGAGCCTGCAACCAGAGCACATGCCCCTGATCAGAATCGAACCTGGGACCCTTCAGTCCACTGGCTGACGCTCTATCCACTGAGCCAAACCAGCCAGGGCACAACATTTAACAAGCAAAATGATCCATGACAAAATGAGGCAATTTTAAACAAAGAGTTTATTTATTTTTATTGATTTTAGATAGGGAGGAAGGGAGAGAGAAAAACATCAATGTGAGAGATATATTGATCCGTTTCTCTCCCCCCACCCCCCACAGGGATTGAACCTGTAACCTAGGTATGTGCCCTGGTTCATAGATTGATGCTCAACCACTGAGCCACACCAGCCAGGCAGAATTTCACTGGGGTCACTGGGGCCATAGTTGAGGCTGTCCAGCACAGAAAAATTCTTTTGGGGCTGTTGAACCAAGAGTCTCAGTTCCTTGCTGGTTGTCAGTCACGGGCTGCCCTCATTTCCTTGCCATATGAGCCTCTCCATACAGCGACTCCTAACGTGGTTGCTCGCTTCATCAAAGCTAGTTAGGGCGAAAGTCTGTTAGCAAGACAGAAGTCAGAATCCTCTGTAACCTATTCAGGGAAGTGACGTCCTGGCACTTTTGCCAAATTCTAGTGTTTAGAAGCAAGTCACAGGTTCCTACACTCAAAAGGAGAGCATTCCAGGTGGTGTGCATAGCAGGTGGTGGGAATCACTGGGGCCATAGTTGAGGCTGTCCAGCACAGAAAAGCAACACAGCAGAATTGCTGTGTGGTTAAAGCCATAGGTTCCAATCATCTCACAAAAGAAGGCAAATAGCATTCTTTGGTAAAACTCTCTGGTTTTTCTCCAATATCAGACTTCAACGTTTTAACATAAATTTATTTAGACCAAAATTTCAGCAAACAGTGTCTAAACAGAGTCGTGCACATTCATTTGACAATTTGCTGTCACAATGTTATCCATAAATACACACGTGTACCCTGAATTAGTTTTTCATGCTGCACATTTCCTTTTGGAAGTAGTATGACGACACTGTCATTGCAGCAAAAGACCAGTAGGTGGCCGAACGCAGGAAGACACAAATAACTGCAGTAAAAGTCTTTACAAATAACTGTAAAGAAGTACGACAACTGGTCATGGAAGGTTATGGCTACAGATATTTAAAACAAAGTTTGTAATGGTCTTAGGAATATTTTTAAATTTTACAAAGAAACAAAATCTCCATCATACTGCTAGAAGTATCTATTTGGTATAACCTTCCCTGAGGGCAATTTACCCAATTCCAAAGTATTTAAAATACGCTTATTCTTTGATTAAGCTATTAAAGCATAAATATATGTAGCAATTGATCCAAGACATTTAAAATGAGCTAAAAGATTCATCTACAGCAGCGGTTCATGGTGGGGGGGTATAGGGGGAATGAATGTTGGAGACTTGTTATTGTCACAACTGGAGGGGAAAGGTTGCTACAGGCATCTGGTGGGTGAAGCCAGAAATGTCATTAAACATTCTACAATGCAGTGGATAACTCCCCACAACCAAGAATTATCTAGCCCAAAATGTCAATTGTGCTGAGACTGAGAAACCTTGGTCTAGATAGAAGCATGTATCCCCTGGTACTGTTCACAAGAGTGAAAAATAGAAAAACACCCTAAATGTCTAAAAATAGGGGACTAGTTCAATAAGTTATGATGAACCATTCATATAGTTCAGTCATTAAAGGGGATGTTGCAGAAGTATACTTATTGTAACAACATATTCTGTGAATAAAGCAACTTACCAAATCCTGTATAGAATATAACGAGATATATACACACTTGAAGGTATAAGCAGTGGTTTATCTCTGATTGGTGGCATTTTCTTCTTTTGTGCACCCTTTTAAATTCTACTTTTTCTTTAATGAATATGTTACATCTAATATTAAAATATTACATATTAAATTAAGACTTGGGGACTATAGCAGCTGCTAACTTTCAAGAGAAAAACACAACAAAATATTTGAAACTGCTTATCAACTTAAAAATAGTGAGGTTTTCATTACATTTGTCTCATATTATCTTAACCAGCTGTTTCCTTAGTTCCAGTCACATCAACAATTTTTCCCATGCATTCCTGGCCACATTTTGCCTTTGTCTATACTGAAATTCTTTTTCTACGGTCAGGGAAGTTAATTTGTTCTCCATTTCCTCAAGTGCTTGAAGGGGAATGCAAGCCTAAGAATAGATGCAGATATTTGGTATTGGAACAAATCACCAATGGCCTTCTCAAGCACTCCATCATTGAATTTCTGGTTGTCCTTTGAGCATTGGTAAAACACAAATGCTGCCATAAGCTGTGAAAATGCGCATTCAACCGAAGGACTTGTATGCATGCATATAAGGATAACCAATGGACACAAGACACTGCGGGGTAGGGGAGGCCGGGGAATGTCAAGGGGGGGGGGGGAAGGAGACATATGTAATACTCTTTGTATTACTTTAAGCAATAAAACAAAATTTAAAAAAAAAGAAAATGCGCATTCACCTTCAGTACCAATGCAATGGTGGTTGATCACATCCCGGGGAGCTTAGGCAATTGCACTTTTGTTTGCTGATAACCATACACTGCTAAGTTAAAGCCCTAAATTATGAAGTCTCATTTTGGTTACAGCCAATACAGCAAGAATGCAGGGTTTTGTTTTTCTGCTGGAAATTCTACTAATATTTACAGCCAATGGATGACATGTTAGAATAACTCCACTGGACAATATCCACATTTTCACACGTAAATGAATTGTTAAATGTCAGCAAAATCTAATATATATATTCGTTGTAAGCCAAAGAAAGCCAGTTATCATCCAATAAGTAAATCAATGCTATTATTTTATAAGCATTTCAAATATAATTTCCTTCCGAGGAACAGAAGAGAAAGGTTCAAGAAAGAGTCCAAATTGGAGGGGTCAGAGCTGTCATTCACCAATTCCTTGTCTGAGCAAATGACTCTTCTGTACTCAGAGGTTCACATGTAAAATAATGAGATGATTTACTCTTCCTTCTGCCCTGTACTTCATTCTATTTAAACAGCCCTTCATATTTAGGGACAGTAACACCTCGATATAATGGACCAATTCCAGACGAGGAGGTGTCCGTTAAAACCAAAAGTCCATTATGTAATAAAGTAGGTTTTCCGAATGGGTATGTTTAAAAATGGACAAATTAGTTAGTTTACCTGTTTTTACTTATGTAGGCACGTTTGTGTAATTAGAATTGTGCATGAAAAGTTTAATTTCACACAAAGGTTTTCTATATGTATTACTGTAATTTTAAATTTATACTGAACAGGTGTAGTAAATCGTGAATTCACCAGTCACCACAAGTAAACAAATGCACAAACTGGCATGCGGCTTAGCACAGCAAGTGGCAACATCGAACAGGCCCACGTTAAAACTGCTGCAGAAAGTCCACAACAGAACCAATACCGAGTGATCACGTGCTAATGGTTCGCTGAACATTGTTTATAAGCCATGACTTTTGGATATAAGTATGTAGACTACAGCTGTAGAAAGGTAATATTTATGTCGGCAAAATTACTACTTTGGTTTTTCCAACACATGGCCTTGTCGCTAAAATGTGTTAGAAATAACAGTGAATTAATAACAAAAAAATAACCTGTTAATTTAATTTTAAGCAAATCTTGGTTTAAAGCATTTTAAAATTAACAGGGTGTTAATTTTCACAGGACATCGGGATAGGAAATTTTGTCTGTTAAATCAAAGTCCGCAAAATCGAGGGTTTACTGTATATATGTCCCCACTACACTCCTGGCTGCCTAGGTCAGTTGACTACTCTTGGCTTTTCCACTGTACTTTGTCCCATACTTGATTATGAATAGACTAGAGGCCTGATGCACGAAATTCGTGCAAGAGTAGGCCTTCCTTCCCCCGGCTGCCGGCACTGGCTTCCCTTTGGCACCCGGGACCCAGGCTTCCCTCACAGCCCCGGCTTCCTCAGGAAAGACGTCTGGTCTAATTAGCATATTATGCTTTTACTAGAGGCTGGCCCTCAGCCCGGCCTGTGCCCTCTCACATTCCGGGAGCCCTCGGGGGATGTCCGACTGCCATGTAGGTGGGAGAGGCTCCTGCCACTGCCCCTGCACTTGCCAGCTGTGAGCCCAGCTCAGGGCTTCTGGCTGAGCAGCACTCCCCCTGTTGGAACGCACTGACCACCAGGGGGCAGCTCCTGCATTGAGCGTCTGCCCCCTGGTGGTCAGTGCATCTCATAGTTGGAGTCTGCAGCAAGCAAGCCTCCCTGCTCGCTTCAGTGCCTGGCTGCCGGCCGCCATCTTGGCTGACAGTTAATTTGCATATACTCACTGATTAGCCAATGAAAAGGGTAGCGGCCGTACGCCAATTACCATGTTTCTCTTTTATTAGTGTAGATTATTATAGATGCTCAGTATTAGGGAGATCTTGAAGGGTCCTATCCAACATTACTTTATGGGAAGAGAGAGGAGATAACATGTCTTAGAATCAGGTAGATAGTCTGAGTCTCTGGAGGAAAATCCAGGCAGCCACACATTTTCGCCCTCATTTTCCCGGGAGGGGAGAACCCAGATACAGTGGTTTCTAGAAAAAGATGTAGATGCTTATAGAGGTCTGGGAGACCAAAGGATATTTCAGGCTATGAAAAATAACTACCTATTAATTTTTAAAAATAGCATGCCCAGGTTATGGGAAGCATTTTTCCTAATCCCCATGTGAGTTAAACTCAGAAAACTTACCCACTTACTCAGAGAACGAGTGACTCGGTTTGCATGGGAAGCAAATTTTGCACTGTAAAAACACAGAGGTCATTTCCCCAGAGGTAAGTTCTCCAGAAAGAAGTTTCTCAGGTTTTAGGGCAGGTCACATTTTCTCTGTCCTGGTACTGCGCTGGCGCTGGCGCTGGGGGCCATCTTCAGGGGCTCTGACTCCGCCAAACCGACAGGGGGCGCCCGAGTCCGCGCTTTTCCCGCCCCCCCCCGCGGCGCCCCAGCCCCG